TAATGACCATGCAAGGAAGGTTCATGCTATGGTCTGAATGTTTGTGTTTCCCCAAAATTCTTACGTTGAAACCTAATCACCAACATGAAGGTATTGGTAGGAATATTCCTACTAATTAGGAATTATTAAAATTCTACTCAACTTTCTATTCTAAATAATTTCAAGTCATTTAACCTTTTTTTTTTAATTGAAGGAGGAGGGTTTTATTTCCCAACTATTTAATTGCATTAAATGATTTTCTTTGGACTCTATTCAATTTTCTTTTTGCTCTCTTTAAAATAGGATGGCCCAGTAAGGGTAACAAAGGCCCCACAAATGCTGAAGAGGTACTAGTAATGTCAATAATAGCACTTGTGGTAGCAGCCACCACCATGTCCTAAACACTGTTAAGTACTACATACATTTTCTCATGTAATCCCCACACAACTTTATACAAAGTCTTCAAGCCTAAATGCATTACTTTTGTGAACTTCTCTTAATGAACAACATCTTAATCTCCTCAGTGTTGACCTTTCTTCAAGTTTGTTCACGTTTTCGTCAACTAACTGTAATTTTGTAACTCCTGACAATAGGAAGAACAAGAAAACCAAAAAAAAAAGAGATTGGTGTCCAACAGAAAATGTCAAGGTGAGTAAGCCTGGAGGGGTTGTCTTAACACACAAAGACATACAAGGAGGAGGAAGGTTTCTCCCTCTGGAAATAGAGTAAAAACCTGGAAAGCCAGAAAGTGCCACTGGATGGGAGAAAAGGGCACCAATGTAGAGTTTATTCAGGAGCAAAGTAGCAACACCAGGTGAGGATGAAGTGATGACGTGCAAAGGAATAGTTCAATCACGTGAGTGCCTACACCTGTGAATAAAACTATCCCCTCATCCCAGTGGTTCCTGGGAATGTATAAGTCTTACTGATGGTAACTAATGCAAAAGGGAAGAATAATAATGACCATCACCATCAAAAAATAGCAGCTAACATTCTTTCAGCCCTTACTCTATGCTAGATATTATTGTGAGCATTTAAAATTTTTAAAATATCACAATGAAGGAGGTAGGTGCTTTATTATCCCCATTTTTCAGGTGATAACTGAGGCCCAGAAGGAAAAAAAACAGAGCAACAGTTAACAGATAGGGTTAGTTACATCACCTAAAAATAATTCAGATTTACTGATCATTCAGTCCAATAACAAAGAATCGAACAACCCCATTCCACTGCGATGTGGCAATGATGGCTACTAACAATAAAGATTCGCAGTTCTGATTCTCTTATACCATAAGGGCTCGGTCAGCTCGCAGGTGAGGTGTGGGTAAATGCAGAGCCCCAAACGCAGGACACAACTCTGGACAGTGGAGCTGACATCTCTGAATTTCTTACCAGCATGCTTAAAATGAAGCGCCTAACAATTTCCTTGGTTCTGTTTTCCTGTTTATTCTTTGATGAAGACATTAATGATTGAGCAAATATACCAAATAATGGTGACAGGAAGAGAAGTTAGCAGGTTCCATTGTATTTATATACAGGATAACCAGACCCAGCAAAGGAAGAACTTTTTATAATTGAAATACAAATACTAGCCTCAACTACCAATTCTATCACGTGAAACATAAGAAAACCTCATAATCATAACAATCTATACTTTTCTTAAAGTGACAGTTACAAAAGAAAAACGTATTTTTAGAATAGACAATGATTTTGTTAGACAAACCAAAGATAAGATGATCTTATACCAATAACATCTTGAAAAGATAGCTTAGATTTTAGAAAATCAGATCTATCGATCATACCTGATGAAAACCAGCTTGACCTTTGAAGGGGCAGTCTTAATAATGGCAGATGCATTTTGGTGACTTCTTCCATACAGGATCTGATTGTTTATCTGTGTGGTAAAAAATAAAATATACTTATTTATACATATATGCAAGTATATATGCACATGCTTGGAATCAAATGATAATGCCTATTAATTTTTAAGTGGGTATATGTTGGACTC